ACCAAAGACCATCTGAAGGAATATTGCCCAGTTGTCATAAGGACAAGCAGAACTGAGCCCCATGAAGTACACAGCTTCTACCTGGCATCATCATTTCTTGCCAAATCAATATGACTCTGGAATGACATCTCTCAGCCAGGTTTTTTGTTAACTTTACCAACGGCCTTATTTTGGTCTTTCTGTCCTCCCCTCCATTATAAAAATATTACATAGAAATTAGAAAATTCAGAAAATATAGAAAGTTATAAAGAAGAAAATGTTTTAAATCACATGCAATCCTACCATCTAATCATAAGTAGAGTTGATTTTTAATGTATTTTCTTCCTGTCATATTATACATATACAGAAATGGTTATACTGCCTTCAAGAAAAGACTATGACATGACACTGTTATCTTAAAAAATTAAAAAATTTTTAATTGGCATATGATAATTGTACATATTCATGGGATACATAATGATGTTTACTATATGATGTAAACATCATAGTGATGAGTTCAGGGTAATTAAGATGTTCATCCTCTCAAACATTTGTCAGCTCTTTGTGTTGGGACAATTCATTATCTTCATCTTAGCTATTTGAAACTGTATATTATTAACTGTAGTCATTCTACAGTGGTATAGAACACTAAAATAAGACTTACTTTAAAGAGGTTATATAGAGAGATATTTTTATAAGACAGACTTATTGCCTCCAAGTCATTAATAACTTGTCTCTTCTAAAGAAAATTATTTTCTTTAATGTGAAACAAAACATTTAATTGTTGATTATTCAATTAAATGTGTCTAGCAGGCTTTTTTAAAAGTTTCCTAAAGGAGTACTTTGATTACCTAGAGTGATTTTACTAAAGTAGAAATATAAAAGAACTGTCATTGTACTAATGCTAGTAAAGTTACAGCTTGTAGCTTCATTGTGATTTCATAAAATTTTAGTTCTTTCAAATTAACAGCCAATGTAGTATTTATTTTTAATCAACATAACTTTCTAGTTTTCTAATGAGAAACCTGAGGTGTAGCAAGAATAAGGTACGTGCCTCAGTTCACAAGTATTAGTGGAAAAGTCAGGACTCCTGACTTCGAGGTCACTCCTGACACTTTTTCCATTTTATTTTAAATACAGCAATTCACAGAAATAATTCCTTTATTCAGTATTTATTAAGTGTTTAATAAATGTGGCTCAAAAATAAAGTCCATTACAAATGTACAGATAAGAAGTAACTTAATTTGGCTTGAGGGAAGTGGAATAGTGATGCAGATTGGAAAAACAATAAGGGAGCTATTGGGACTTTTTAAACAATGGAATATCATAATAAAATACGTGATTTTGGAGTATTTAATTAGGCAGAAATGAATATAGTAGAAAAATGAGTAAACTAGAAGTCCACATGGTAATGATGGCCTAAAGTAGCGGTTCTCAACCCGTGGGTTGTGACCCCTTTGTAACAATGAAAATACATCCTGCATATCAGATATTTACATTACAATTTATAACACTAGCAAAAAAAAAATTTTTTTTTTTTTTTTTTTTTGAGACAGAGTCTCAAGTTGTCTCTCTGGGTAGAGTGTCATGGCATCACTGCTCACAGCAACTTCAAACTCTTGGGCTTAAGCGGTTCTCCTGCCTTAGTCTCCCAAGTAGCTGGGACTACTACAGGTGCCCACCACAATGCCCGGCTGAGCAACAAAAATAATTTTATGGTTGGGGGTCACCACAACATGAGGAACTGTATTAAAGGGTCGTGGCATTAGGAAGGTTGAGAACCACTGGCCTAAAGTCAAGTATTAGAAAAGGAAATGGGGGGCAGCATCTATGGCTCAAAGGAGTAGGGCACTGGCCCCATATACTAGACGGAGTGGGTTCAAACCTGGCCCCGGTCAAAAAAAAAATAGAAAAGGAAATGAATTTGAGAACTATTACAGAAATAGATTCCCAGGGCTTGTTGACTAAAAACAGTGCATTGAGGGAAAGAGTGGTCATGTTGATTTCTTAGTTTCATACTGGAGAGCCTGGGAAAATGTTGAAAAACTATGAAAGACTTATTTAGTGGCAAGTAAGTATTTGAATTTGGACTTGCTGTGGTTAAAGGCTCTACTGGGCATTCAGCTGGAAGATGTCACTATCAAGAAAATTGTAGATGGAAAAGAGAGCTCAGGAGAGAATTCAGAGTTAGGCAGAAAAATTATTTGTGTTGAGGGAATAACTGATCATTTCTTCTTTCCTGCGATCTTCACTGCTTTGCATATGCATAATTATTCGAGTCATGCACGACAGCCTTAAATCCATGTAACCGTTGTGTGCCTTAGAAATATGTAGCCAAAGCAAAAAGAGGGCATTTCAGGATTCAGGAACCATGCCTCAAGCAGTGCCACATGATTGGTAGGAAAACACTGGCTTTTTATGAAGGCTATTTTAGTTTCATTAGCAGAAAGTGAGTAAAGTTATATTACCCCCTGTGTGCTAGGTGTTCATCAGCCTTTTGTATACGTGGTCTTTATTTCTCAGCAACCATGTGAAATAGGGAGTTTTGTACTCATTTTCACTGATGAAACTGGCTAAGAGAAGCTAAGTAATATATAGATCATTATGAAAGTTTTGAGGTACACAAAAATCAAGCAGCAGTGGAAACAAATGAAAGCTTCCCAGCAGTACCAATAAGCTGTGCAAGTTGAAACTTGCCCAGGTGAATCACAAAAAATGTTGTTAACTATCTCTCTTGGTGTGAATTAATGGACCATACACAATCTGTCTCAAAACTTTTATAGTTCCCCACATACTAGAGCAAGAATTGAGGGTGTTCCAGGAATAATGGTGATCTTCCTATGCCACACTTTGCTATGTTTTCAAGTAAGACCTGTTAAATATTGCTATTAACCTTATGCCCAAAGAGGTTTTTTAGTTCCTTGCCTTTGTCTAATAAGCACAGTTTCAGATTTAAAATGTTATTCATTGAATTTTAGTTATGGGTGGCCATTTGTCTGCAATAAGAAAGCATGTATATAAAATGACTAAGAGGTTCGGCGCCTGGGGCTCAAGTGGCTAAGGCGCCAGCCACATACACCTAAGGTGGCATGTTCGAATCCAGCCTGGGCCCGCCAAACAACAATGATGGCTACAACCAAAAATAGTCAGGCGTTGTGGTAGGCGCCTGTGGTCCCAGCTACTTGGAAGGCTGAGGCAGGAGACTCGCTTGAGCCCAGGAGTTGGAGGTTGCTGTGAGCTGTGATGCCACGGCACTCTACCCAGGGGGAAAGCTTAAAGCTCTGTCTCAAATAAATAAATAAATAAATAAAATGACTAAGAAGTGAAAGTTGGATTACCTATGTTTCCACTCAGATGTGCAAACCTTCTGGAGTGCTGTCAAATGCCAACATTCGTTTTCTTTATCACTGCCAAGTATGTAGAACTTTATTTAGAAGGCTTAATCGAAAGTTCAGAGATACCTGGAAGAACAAATACTATTATAATACTACACATTTTCATAGCACCCACTTCCAATTAGCTAAAAATTATCATCATTTATGGCATTACCAGAAAAGCCACAATATAATCTCAGTTTGCATTTTTTTAAATAGGCAGAAACAAGATTATATGTTCTATAATACAAAGGCTAATTTGTATCATGAAACTTCCTGTAATTGTCAAGCCTGAGTACAAATAGGTAATACTGGGTAGTGCCTATCACTCGGTGCGTGGGGCATACACCAAGTCTGGCGGGTTCAAACATCCCTAGCCAGCTAAAACAGCAATGACAACTGCAACAACAACAACAAAAAATAGCTAGGTGTTATGGCAGGCACCTGTGATCCCAGCTAATTGGGAGGCTGAGGCAAGAGAATTGCTTAACCCCAAGCATTTGAGGTTGCTGTGAGCTGTGATGCCACACACACCACGGCACTCTACCCAGGGCGACAGCTTGAGACTCTGTCTCAAAAAACAAAACGAAACAAAAAAACCGAATAGGTAATACTTTTCTAACTTTCATTTATGAAAGTATATTTATGTACTTCTCAGCAAATCAGAAGTGAGAAATTGCATCTCAAAACTGTAGGATAGTGTTAAATGCCGGCATGATGTGTTTTCTCTTCCATGTATACTGTTTCTGCAATGTTCAGAGTTGATGGTGATTTAAAAAAATTTTTTTCGCTCAGCGCCTGTGGCTCAAGTGGCTAAGGCGCCAGCTACATACACCTAAGGTGGCAGGTTGGAATCCAGCCTGGGCGTGCCAAACAACCATGATGGCTGCAACCAAAAAATAGCCGGGCATTGTGGCAGGTGCCTGTGGTCCCAGCTACTTGGGAGGTGGAGGCAGGAGACTCGCTTGAGCCCAGGAGTTGGAGGTTGCTGTGAGCTGTGATGCCACAGCACTCTACCCAGGGGGACAGCTTGAGGCTCTGTCTAAAAAAAAAAAAAAAAATTTTTTTTTTCTTGAAAAACTAAAGTTTCTTAATATTGGCCAAAATAATGAGAGAGAAGATTAATGGTCAGTATATTTATCCTTACGGCTCAGAACTTATACAGCTGAATTATGATTCTCAGTTGCCATGTGCTGCTAACACAGTTCCTTTCTTTAATACCGCTCTTTGTTCATTGGGAAAATGCTGCAAGAAAATAGGAATTTCTCCTCACCATTACCTATCTGGCAATGTATTTGAGTCTAATCCCTGACATTCTGTCCTGGATACTAGCCCTTCTGCTTGCTTGAAGTCTACATTTTCCTTATCTGCTAAAAGGGGGATTCCAGACAGACGAGGAAACAGCTTTCGTATGTGCACCGTAGGCATACTACGGTGCCTCTGAAGAGCGTCTCTCTCATTCCCCCACTGTGCAGTTTGCAAATCAAGGAGCACTTCTCTGGTGATGAATTCTAATGAGTTGTTAAAGATGCCAGAGTGTGCGCTTGTACGTGTGTTTTCTTTCCCCTCCCTCCTTTCTTCCTTTTCCCAAGGCCCCTCTTCTCCCATTTCCCCTCCTACTTCTTTATCCCCTCCCTCCGTGTCTCAGTTCTGCAGTACATTGGGCTGAAGCACATTCCTGCTTTGCAAGGCTTTCTGTTAAGGATGTATTGTGGCTTTTGTTTGGATTGCAGCATACAGAATTACAGGTAACATTCTGAAATTGAGCTAAATTCTGTTGAAATGTTTTTAAAGAGGCACAATATTACATTGGAATTGATGAAGAAAGTAAGTTATTATGGCTAATTTTATTAGTGTAATTGTAGTGGAATGTTTTCAGAAATGTTATAAGCAAATTCCTTTTATCCACCAAAAGGCTCAAATACATAAAAGGAAATGGGGGTGGATTGATCTGACTGCAGTTAATTTTGTTTTATGTTGATCTTGAAAGCTTGATGTTGCTGCTGTTACTCTGTAGGGTAAGCACCAGTTAAGTGGGGTGCTACTGGGGGTAGCCATGAGTACTGGTACCAGAAAGGGTGGAGTGGGAAGGATTATGCTAGTCTGAGCTAGCTAGCCAGGTTCTTTAATTAGGGCATTGGATACGAAATGTAAAATGCTCTCTCCTTTTCTTCTATCAGCCGTTCATAGGAGACTCATTACAACTCCTGCTGAAGCTCCTAATCTTCCTCCCTTCTCTTCTGCCCCCTCCCCCTACTCTCACTTGGCCTGAAGACGTTGTCCTCAGAATTTACTTTACTTTTTTGGTACTATATGTATGGTGAACCTGCCACTATGGCTGCGTCTGCCAGATGACTGCTGCTGGCTCTCCCTATTCCAAGAAGGATTTAAAAGGGAATTGCACTGCAGACAATGCACCAGAGCAGCAGCATCGGGAACTTGGGGACTAAGGCTCCTCTGGCATTATTATACACATGCAAAGCTGACCGCTATGACAGCAGCTGCTCCTTTGAACCGTTGGCAGCAGCCAAGCGGCAGCATGAAGTAAGAGATCACTCCTAACCTCAAGATGAATTCCTCCTTGGATGGTAATCAGAGCAGCCACCCTTTCTGCCTCTTGGCATTTGGCTATTTGGAAACCACCGATTTTTGCCTTTTGGAAGTGCTAATTATTGTCTTTCTAACTGTATTGATTATTTCTGGCAACATCATTGTGATTTTTGTATTTCACTGCGCACCTTTGTTGAATCATCATACTACAAGTTATTTTATCCAGACTATGGCATATGCTGACCTTTTTGTTGGGGTAAGCTGCCTAGTTCCGTCCTTATCACTCCTCCACTACCCCCTTCCGATAGAGGAGTCCTTGACTTGCCAGATATTTGGTTTTATAGTATCAGTTCTGAAGAGCGTCTCCATGGCCTCTCTGGCCTGTATCAGCATCGATAGATACATTGCTATAACTAAACCTTTAACTTATAATACCCTGGTTACGCCCTGGAGACTACGCCTGTGTATTTTCCTGATTTGGCTGTACTCAACCCTGGTCTTCTTGCCTTCCTTTTTCCACTGGGGCAAACCTGGATTTCATGGAGATGTATTTCAGTGGTGTGCAGAATCCTGGCAGACCAACCCCTACTTCACCCTGTTCATCGTGATGATGTTATATGCCCCAGCAGCCCTTATTGTCTGCTTCACCTATTTCAACATCTTCCGCATCTGCCAACAGCACACAAAGGAAATCAGCGAGAGGCAAGCCCGCTTCAGCAGCCAATGTGGGGGAACTGGGGAAGTACAGGCCTGTCCTGATAAGCGCTATGCCATGGTCCTGTTCCGTATCACTAGTGTGTTTTACATCCTCTGGTTGCCATATATCATCTACTTCTTATTGGAGAGCTCCACGGGGCACAGCAGCCGCTTTGCATCCTTCTTGACCACCTGGCTTGCTATTAGTAACAGTTTCTGCAACTGTGTCATTTATAGTCTCTCCAACAGTGTCTTCCAAAGGGGATTAATACGCCTTTCAGGGGCCATGTGTACTTCTTGTGCAAGTCAGACCACAGCCAAGGATCCTGACACAGTTAGGAGCAAAGGTCCTCTTAATGGATGTCATGTCTGAAGAGGCTCAGATACTGGATTACCCTTTCTGTATGGAGTTTCCTTTTTCCTTTTTCCCCTCTTTTTTTCTTTTTTGTCTCTTAGTATTCCTAGTTTACTGGAGTTTACTGAGACAGAATAATTTTACATTAAGCAGTAGCAAACAAATGATCCAAATACTTTCTAAGTTTGCAGAAATGGTTTTATAAGTGCTTTTGAATCAGAAGAATCAAGATCATGAAGATAAATTAGTCTTTGTTCCAAATTTTAAAATGTCATGGAAGTGACTACAGTTCTCAGAATTAAAATGAATAAAGCCATATCTAACACCTCTCTTTAGCTGGCATGAAAGAACCTGAGTATGAAAAGTGTTAGCATTTAAAATTACCATTTTGTTGTCACTTTCTGAGTTTTTTTCCTGGCTATTTGGGCTTCATGTGCAATGATTTCTTTTTTTTTTTTTCTCTCCTTTTTGAGACAGAGCCTCAAGCTGTCCCCCTGGGTAGAGTGTTGTGGCATCACAGCTCACAGCAACCTCCAACTCCTGGGCTCAAGTGAGTCTCTTGCCTCAGCCTCCCAGGTATCTGGGACCACAGGCGCCCGCCACAAGGCTCGGCTATTTTTTGGTTGCAGCCGTCATTGTTGTTTGGCAGGCCCGGGCTGGATTTGAACCCACCACCTTGGGTGTACATGGCTGGCGCCCTACCCACTTGAGCCACAGGTGCCGAGCCAGCAATGATTTCTTACAACAAGAATGTTAAAATACAGTGATGAATTAAAAGATTAAAAATAATTTTTTTATGTATGCCAAAGTATAACTACGTTTCAACACTGTCATTTAGAAAGCCAGGTGTTTTATGTCTTATTCTCTTGAGATAATTCTCAATAGGGTGAATAATGCAAACTCTTAAACAATTTTAGAATTTTATAATGAACCACGAGGCAAAAAATGCAGTCAAATCATGCAGTTTATGAAAAACTGAGCTGGTTTTTATGCCATGCTTCACAGAGATCTAATGATATTTGTGCATAGATGTTGTCATGGTCCAGTATTCATACCTTTTGTGTATATGTATAATTGAGAATATTTGAATTTAGATTTCTCTTACAACAAAATGTTTTTAAGTTAAAAAATGATTAGGCCAGATAGAGGCTCTCAATTTTGTAATAATGAAAAGCTATTAAAAATGTTGTCTTTAATCTTCTTTGTTCTTTTCATCCAAAGTCTTTTGAAATACTAGGACATCAGGGAGATAATGTCCTAAGCAACTCACTGTAGTATTCTATTTCATTTTTAAAATAAAAGATAGTGACCTTTTTTTGTGGCTACATAGGATCAATCGGCATTTGAAGAAGAGAAGGGGAAATTGTAATCTATATTATCTGTACTCTTATTCCTGTTTGCTTTCTGGGAAAAAAATCCTTTGATATACTGTTCTTCCTTAATAACCTTTTTCTCATAGTACTAGCAGCATCTACAGGATTTTATTATTGTTCTGTAGAGTTATTATTGAAGTGGTCTGTTTGTATGTAGGAGTGATGTTTTGTTCCTTAAAAGTAATTATCTTTAGAGCAAGATGTTTATTTTTAAAAAGGCTAGAACAATTTCTGGCAGCCCTAGGCATGAGAGTATTTCCTCTACTTTTCTACTAGTTTAATCTTTTAAAAGTCTTCACAGAACTTACTTGATCTCTCTGCCTTTGGCTAGATGTTGTAATCTGAATATGACAATGGTGTTTAGTGAGGTGGAAGATGGAAGAAACAAACCCAAGAGACATGGGTTAAATTGGATTTCTGAATCCAAGAAAGGACATAGATATTTATAAAACAGGCATATATGCTTTGGTTTTCCATCATGATGTCAGAAACCCCATTCCTCTTTTAAAATAAAGGGCAGTGTATTTTTATGATTTTAGGTTTATACATCAACTTGATTTTAATCTCTAGCGTGCTATATATAAACTTTTTATTTTAAGTGACCAAGTATTATATAAACATTCAAATTTCAGATTCTGGGTTCTTCCCAAAAGCTTGCTTGCTCTTTACATTTAGTGTTAGCAAACTTAATTCTAAGCTGTTTCAAAATTTAGGACTCATACTGAAATTGCAAGTTGTGTTACAAATGGCTTTGTTAAATTGCCATTTCAAGTGGAAAATCTTTTCTGCTGGATTATGAAAAATAGTTGTATTGCACACACTTCCCCTTTATTTAAATGGTACAGATCTTTAAAAAACTATTTTTTCATATATGTTAGAGAATGTAATCTTTTTACATTTGCAGTTTGCTTATGAGTTTTTAGTCACACAAATAGTGATATCTTGAAGACTTGATTTTTATTTAAAATTAATGTGTTTTATCAGTAGATTTTACTTTCTTTGGGAGCTGAGACCTTTTTTCTTTTCCAATAGGGTTTCATTTTGTTAAGAATGGAATAGAGAAAACGTATCCTTTTAAATTTTCTCATTGGTTGGGCACCTATAGTTCCGCAGCTAGGGCGCCACCCACATACACCAGGGCTGGTGGGTTCAAACCTATCCTGGGCCTGCCAAACAACAATGACAACTACAAAAAAAAAAAAAAAATAGCTGGGCATTGTAATGGGAGCCTGTAGTCCCAGCTACTTGAGAAGCTGAGGCAAGAGAATCGGTTAAGCCCAAGCAAAAGTTTGAGGTTGCTGTGAGCTGTGACACCATGGCACTCTACCCACTCTACCAAGCTGAGACTCTGTCTCCAAAAAATACAAAGTAAAATAAATTTTCTTATAATGGCTAATCAAGTTGGTCTTTTAGTAACTACAAAGACAATTTGTTGTGGTGGTTGTCAATTAGTCTCACTGTGTTGCCCTGGGTAGAGTGCTGTGGCATCATAGCTTACAGCAACATCAAATGAGAATTGGGCTCAAGCAATTCTCTTACCTCATCCTCTAGAATAGCTGGCAAGCACCACCATGCCTGACTTACTTCTTCTTCTTTTTTTTTTTTTTTTTTTTTGAGACAAAGTCTCAATCTACCCATTGGAGAGCAGAGGCATGATCATAGCTTACTTCCCCAGTAGCTAGGGCTATAGTTGTACACCACCACACCCAGCTAATTTTTAATTTTTTTTTTTGTAGAGCTGGGGTCTCTTTGTGTTGCTTAGGCTGGTCTTGAATTGCTGGACTCAAACAATCTTCCTACCTCCACCTCTCAAAGTGCAGGGATTATAGGCATGAGCCATTGCTCCCAGCTGACGACACTTTTATAAGAGGAAGATCTTTTGTTAATACATGTTTACATTCTTTTCCTAATCCCAAATTTGGATTTTATTAGAAGCATTTTTTTCCCATTAGAATCTCTATTAATGTTCCAACACCAAACTGAAGTACAAACTATTTAATAGACAGAATAATTTTAAAGAAAAATAAAGAGCCTGTTCCCCAGCCAATACTTGCTTAATATCAAGTATCTTTCCAGTTTATCAAATCTTCATTGTGCCATACAAACTCTTAAGTTTTCTTCCAGCATCAGTTCTATTATTTTCACATTCCTTGTCTATACAGGCAGTCTCTGGTTTATGAACGAGATAGGTTCTCTAAGTTTGTTCCTAAGTTGAATTTGTGTGTAAGTTAGAGTACGTACCTTTATTGATACCTTTAATAGCCTCTGTTCCTAAGTGTGAATGGTATATCAGTTGGATGTTTGTAACTCAGGGGACTTACTATAACAGCCTCCCTTGATAAGTGCGAGTTGTATGTAGGACAGGTATTTATAACTTAGGGACTGCCTTCCTCCCTTTTTATTTTATTTTGTTTGTGTGCATGTTGTGGAAGATGAGATGCACCTGGATGAGGGTGGCTGGTAACATTTTCTCTGTGATACATTTAGAGTTGGTGTTTAACTGATTTTTTCATCCTGGCATATTTAATGCAATATTTGATGATGGTTTTGGTTTAAATACCAATCTGACTAGTTCAAATTAGAGAAAAGTGTATTTTTCTACTCAATTATCTAGGCTTCGGCAAAATAGCTGGTATATGACTGGTATCAGAGGAAGCATATGCTTTTTGGTGATTGTGCTAAAATTAATTCATAATAAGTTTTAAAATAAGATTATATTAACTGTTAACGTTTGTATATTAGCTGTGTATTTTTATGGAGTGATTACATTGAAGTGGTTTTTATTTCCTAGATCAAAAATGCAATTACAAATGGACTAACTTGCTCTGCTTTAATGAGAGTGCTATGTTAAACTAGAATGGGTATTTGTATTTTTCATGGACCTGTTGACTCTTAACCAAAATTTCATTTTGAAATGAATTTTGAAAATTTCATTTCATTGTAATGCTTTTCCTTTTTACTTGAATAATGGTCTTAGTATTTGAAGAGTTGGGAAAACTTGAACTCTAAGTATACATTGTCCATCTCTTGGAACTTGAAAATGAAGCTGACAGGGTTACATACTCCCAGATGGTGGAGTGGTTTCTGGGAGGGATTCCTCAGCTTTTCAGTTTATTTGAAAAATCTGCACAGTGACATTGTAGGAGCTGTCTTAGTTTTAGCGACTATATATTTTTGTATCATAAGAGATTTGCGAAATAAATTATTGGCAAACCAGAGTTTATTGTTATACAAGCAAATTTGGAGAAGTTTAAGGATGAGAGAAGAATGTCACTGAGTTTTTTTTTAAAATCTTCGCAGATTATTTTGTGTGTTGATTTTTGTATATTTTTTCTACTTTAGGTTGAATAAAAACTATGTTAAATTTCCATATTACCAATATTATTTTACAGACTTTGAAAATATTATAGACATTTCTTAAATGCCTGTAAATGTGAGTCATTGGCTCTTCTTCAAAATTTGAGTGACAAAAGGGCATCGTGGTAGATAAAAATGAGGATCAAAAAATGTAGGTTTCTGTTTCTAATTAACTAGTTTTGTAAATTAGGGCAAGTCACCTCTCTAAGCACTTAATTTCCTCTATGAATGGAGACAGTGATCCCTTTATACCTTATAGGGTTACGTTGAGGATTTGATTAAAAAATGATTATGAAAGTACTCTGTAAATTATGAAGTGCTT